ACGCTTTCCAAACGCGAGTCCCAGGAGAGAACAAACAGCAAACTGCGTTCAGGGGCATCCAAGCCCACCTAAAGCTAGGCCGCTGCTGGTGGAGCCTTGCCCTGCCTTGGTTCCCCATTTCCCGGCTCGACGGTCCTGCTCGGGCGGCACTTTAAAAGCCCTTCTCCTCACGTACGCGCCCGACGAGCCGCTCACCACAACGGCGGCTCCCAGCATCCGAGCAACTTCCCAACAACTTGCGACTTGCTTTTTCCTCCCTTTTTTCAGGGGTGGGCCGGATTGGACAGACCAACAGGCCGGATGTGGCCCGTGGGCCGTAGTTTGCCCACCCCTGGTCTGTGTGGTCATGAAGTCTGAGCCCAACTTGATGGCACATATCCAATTAATCACTAAAATAGCTAAAATTATGATCAGTAAGAAACTTTTTTTTAAAACGTGTTCCCGATCACTGAGATAAAGAATTCTTACCCCTATATGCTGGAAAAGCCAAGATCTCATCACGTTTGTAGCATGTTTTGGAAGAACACCTCTTTTATTCTTTGATGATCCATCATCTTGATGCAAGATGCTTAAATCTTGGTTTAATTGTAACTGGAGCTACACAATAGCAGAACTTTATTAAAACACCATAAACATCATAAAAAATCTTAATATTTCACAAGAATAATTAAAAACACAACTTTTGTATTAAAAGTAAAAGGAGTGCAACACATGCATTATTTCAGATTGTATGCAAAAACTATATATGTCAGTGGTGAATTCTTAACAGAACATGTGGAAAACATGGAAATTAAGAGAAAGAGTTCTAACCCTGTGCTCATTAGATGTTTTCTATGCAAAGGGAATTTTATTTTATGGGAACATTCAAGCAAAGTATTCACAAACTGCATATTAAAATGGATGAATATGGATTCTCTATAACTCTGAGTAGTATTTATGCCTTTTACATTTATGAGGGAAAATCAGGGACACTGTAACGGGTGGAATAACATAATCAGTCAGGGGCAAAGATGTTGCCCCTCCAATGTATGAGTATTCAAATTCTCTGTTTGTGCCCTCTGAGACCTCTCTGAGTTATGAATACCGAAAATTAAATGCAGTTCCTGCCACTCATTTTATGGATGGTATATAGGATGATGCTTTTTTTTACTTTCCCCTCCACATTTGACATACGAAAAAATATGTAAATTTGTTATATAGACAACCTGTATTGTCAATGCATGTTTTCCACATTTTATTAAAAACCTGGTTTCATCTCATATTTTAAAACACTCTATGAAATGAGTAGAACAAACCTGTGAATTCTGGATCCTAATGGTTCCAGGTGACAGCGCTTGTGTTACTACTTGTCCTTGAGGTGTGACTACTGTTACTGGCTGATATACTGTGCCACCTAAAAAAGTGCAGCAATCAAGAAAATAAGAAAACAAGAGATAACTGGTTAATTGATGCTTAGTTATTATTAAATACAGTATGTAGCTGTGGTTAAAACCTAAAACTATTTCTAAAATGCAAAAGTGAATATTTTTTTATTCCACTGAAAGCTTTACTTTTATGGAAGGAGAAATTCAGTTAATAGTGCCCTCAAGGTACAAAAAGTCAAGATAGCAGTCTCAATAGTGCAACTGAAGCCCTGCTCCGTTGCATATGAGTGTGATGTCAGTGCATAAAAAAGAGCTTTAACAGTTTTATCAAAACCAACATTTTTACTTCTTTAATCTCAGCTGTGCATGTGACTAAGTATGCTTTTATTATATTGGATATTATTAGGTAATTTAGTTATTGTGTTGTGAATATTTTTAATTACTCCAATTTATTTGTTTTGCCTTTTCTTTGAATAAAGCTATTGTTTAAAATGCCGTTTCATTCGCCTCAAGATAAATAGTACATATTAAAAATAACTTTTATATTTTTCTCTTTAGAAACTATTAAAAAACCAGAAGCACACAAACACATATATCCACACATTTAGATAGAAGCAAATACTTATATCCACACAGTTAGATACAATGCAACATTTGAATGTTTAGTGTTTCTCACCTGCAACTGTTGCCATAGTTACATTTCCCTGCTGCAGTGCTGATGCAGGTACCACAATCCCCTGGGGACTTAGTGTACCTGTAATGGCACTTTGAATTGGCTAGAAACAATAACAACAAAATTACATAGCTTTATATTTATGAATGTTCCCATGATTTCAGTTAAATTATTTCAAATCAGAGAGAGATTTGAAAATAAAATAATGATGTTGACAAGTATGATTTTAAAAAAATGCTATGAAAACAATTTCAATGAAAAAAATAAATAAGCAAAAAATTATAGTTTGACAATATGTATATGTTAACTTTCTTCCCAATATTAAACTAAAATGTTAGCTTTCTTCCCAATATTAAACATTCATAGAACAGTTTAAACAGTCATAAGAATGTGGAATTATAATTAAACCACACCATAATTCTTATACCACTCAACACTATTCCTAACATAGTGAAAGCTTGAACTTGTACATCAACTTGCTGGAGATAATGGTATGAATATTTGGAAATGGCTATTGGTTCTTTACTTAGATTTTTTTTAAAAAAGGAAGAATAAATAAATTGTACAGATTTTCAGTGTTAAGATCTCCTGAGCACCTTAAACCTGAGCAGCAAAGATGATTTTCTAAATTTTTTTTCAAAAAGTTCAGATTTAAAATATTTACCTAAATTAGTTAATCCACAAAGGAAATACAAATTAATATATGAAATACAAGAATGCAATTTAATAAGTTGGCATGAGGTTGACATAAAATGTTCAATGAAATTCAATGAAAAAATATTAATTTTCTAAAAACATATATTTATATTTTAGACTATTCATAATTAACTTAATTTTTGTTCTATAAGTGATAAACATATACTTCCAGTGGGTTTCTAGGAGAGTTCTTACAGTAATGAAGATGAATACAATAAACTATTTAAAGGGTTTATTTTTTCATAGTACTTATATTATTCCAATCTCAAACATGTATGGGCAATATACAATATCCTCACCTCCATCCCCCAAAATAAAATAATAATGAAGAACTAAATCCAAATCAATATTAAAAGCAAATCACCAAAAAGCAAGGATCAAACCAAGATAGTTGGCGTCAGTCATGCAGCTGAGGTCAAAAAATGTTGAAATAAAACATTTTAAATTTGTTTATGAAATTTCAGGAAAGTGGGAGATGTTTGGACCTCAGGGGAAAATGTATCCCCAAAGGTAGGGGCTCTTTCAGAGAAGACCTGTAATAACCACGAGAATGGTGAGAACTTTCAGGTCAGCTCTTGAGGACCAGACTGAATGGACAGAATCAGTTTTGCAAAGTAGTGTCCAATATATCCTGGTACTGCACTGTTAATTTACGTTTAACACCAGCATTTTGGATTGGCCCTGACAGTCTACCCATAAACAATATGGTGACTTTAGTAGAGATATAAAATAGTGGGAAGATTAGAGCAGAATGTCCATTAAATCCAAATGAGATTTTATGCATGTGTTGTTGACCTATGCATAAATGGTAAGCACATGGGCAGAAACATTATCATGCAGATTTATTTTCTGTGGTATTTTATTTCCAATAAACTCTGCTCTAAAAAATGAAGAATTTACTTTGGCAGACCTCATTCTGAAATGTAAATACAGGTAGTCCTTGACACAAAACCACAACTGAGCCTAAACTTTATGTTATTAAGTGAGTTCTTTTGCTTCATTTTACTACCTTTCTTGCCACAGTTGTTAAGTGAATCCCTGCAGTTTTTAAATTAGTAACCTGGTTGTTAAGTAAATCTGGTTTCCCCATAGACTTTGCTTGTCAGGTTGCAAAAGGTAGTCACAGACCTTGGGATTCAGCAACAGTCATAAATATGAAACAGTTGCCAAGCATCTGAATTTTGATCACATGATCATGAGAATGCTTTAAAGGTTGCAATTATGAAAAATGATCATGTCACATTTTTCAGTGCCATTGTAACTTTGAATGGTCACCAAATGAATTGTTGTAAGTTGAGGACTGTATTGATGCTCATATTTCTTAGGTTTAAACAAAAATAGTAAATTATATAACTGGGAGGGAAATCACATCTCTTTCATTATTGTTATAAAAATTCAATTGCCAATTGGGACACATTTTTCAATAATAAAACTATTAGGTAGCAAAATAAAGGTCCATAGGTCAATGATGGATATTTATAATCCATATTGTTTCGGGTTAGCTTTCCATGCCTTTAGTTAATGCAGTGGTGGTTGAACTTATGATCGCCAGTGCCTTGTTGCCTTGCTTAATATACTTTGGATGGCTAAGACAGATTTTTTTTTTCAAAAATTTTTTTTCACTGGATTTACAGAGGAAGTTCAGAATTTTGGTTGATGTTTAATTATGTGAAGCCATAAAGTTTAAATATTAGAGTTTCTCATTGTTTGTCATCTTAACAGGGCAGAAAATAATGCAATTAATTTTTAATAACTGTGGTAAGTGGTACTTGGATGTGCAAAAAGGGTGTAACAGTCTGCTTCGAGGTTGACTTAGTCTAATATTTGCAGCACATTTTCTTACATTCCTTTCCCAACATAAGACAGCCGGGAAGGGAGGCTTTTTATGACTAAAAACATGAGATGAGTGATTCATGCTCATTTATATTTTTCAACTAGTCTCTTATGCACATGGTTTCTTGTGCTTAGATTCAGCTACTGAACCTAAAGAACTTTATGCTTTGAAGTCTTGTGTACATGATGGAGAGCTATCAAGAACTTTCTTCCTGCACTGAGAACTCCCCTATTATGGATAGGGCCATTATTTGCAATGAAATGAACAAAGCCAACCCAAAACTTAGGCCAAGGAAACAGTGTCAAAGAAGTGTAATGATAATTGTGTCAATTTTGCTCTACTGCTCACATTTTCTGGTGACTCTTTCCATGAAGACAGTTGCTCCAGCAAATCCAAGCTATCATTATCATGTTTAAAGTTGCTGGACTGCAGACAAAGAGTTGACAAATTATAGTCATTCTTTAAGAATTACAATTTCATGTACCGGATTACTAAGAACTGCACAAGGGAAACCTGGTATCTTTAATAACATCACAAAGAGTTAAAACATTGCTAATTGGCAAGTCATAGATCATCTATTTTAAAACTGCATTGTTATGTATTTAATTGAATTATTAAGATGGCATATTATACTTCGATTTTTAAAAATCTACTTTTATCTAATCTGAATCTTTTTTGGAATATGGTACATTACAATGCAATTAAGAAAATATACTTCATTTATCATGAAAATTACCTGGGGTTGTACTGGTGAATAAGGACTCCCAGATTCCCCACTTAGCAGAGTTTCACTGTTCATTTTAGTCTTTAAACATGCAATATAGCGACTACAAAAATCTTTACAGAGCTCATTAACTTTTTCTAGCTCAAGCAGATGAATTCGTAGAACCTGAATTGCTTTTACCATCTGAGGATAAACAAACAGAATTTTAAAATGACATACAAAAATGTCTGCACTTCATTTACATTTATTGACAATACTGTTTATTGACAACTCTGTCTCCCTGACAGAGTTTAAAACAAAGTTCAGTGACTATAATTTACAACCATTAAAATGAAAGATGTTATTAAATACACAGAATAAAGTAACAAAACAATAATAGTAGTAACAATAATAAAAGATCTGTTTAAAGAGACAGGGATTTACCTCATGTTAAAAGTGGATAGAATGAAACTGGCTGGCAAACAGATTTACTATAACTATTTATATTCTTATCTTTCAGTATGTACTAATCTTTACAAGGTACTTTATAGGCAACACAGACAACTATAAATAAAAACATGATATATTATTAAAAAGAAAGAAACAGAAATATTTCCTACACAGCTGTTGAATGTAATAGAAATGCTAGGATTTTAGAGGAAAAGTGCAGCTGGGAAGGCTTTTCCCTTTTCTTTAACGAGAATGACCACTGAGAGGATCTTTCTATTAATTTTACCTTAAACACCAAAGTCATCTGGAGAAAGCTTTCTGAAAATCATACTATACTTCTACTCACATTACACAACAGAATTCATATAAACCTTGAGTTTGACTTTCATAAAAAAGCTGCCTAATGCTGCTTTACTTTGCAATATAGGTAGTCCTCAGCTTACAATTATTAATTTAGTGACTGTTCAAAGTTACAACAGTACAGAAAAGTGTACTTTGTACACTTACACTCTGTAAGTGACTTATGAACATTTTTCACATTTATGAACATTGCAGTATTCCCATGGTCAAAATTCAGATGCTTGGCAACTGGCATGTATTTATAAAGGTTGCAGTATCCCAGGATCACCTTTTGTGACCTTCCAACAAGCAAAGTTAATGGAGAAGCCAGATTCATTTAATAACCATGTAACTAACTTAACAAGTGCAATGACTCACTTAACAACAGTGGCAAGAAAGATCATAAAATGAGGCAAAACTCACTTAATAACTGTCATGTTTAGCAATGGAAATTTGGGGCTCAATTGTTGTAAATTAATAAATCGAGGACTACCTGAAAATTATTTAACTTAACCAATTCGTTAAACATTAACTGGAATACAAATTTTGCTAGATTTTGCTTTATTATCTTTTTTGAAGGGCTTTATTTCAGTGCTTTCTGAATTCCTACTCATTTAAATAGATAGGCACTTTGTCACTTCATTTTATTACCTAAATTAAGCTACTTCTCTAACAAAGAGAGGGGAAAAAGAAACTTCTTTGGGGGAACAATCTCTTTTACTAGGGATTGTTGTAGTGTGTGGAGAAATAATGGGGAAAAGTCAGTTTGCCAAATACCGTGTTTCTCATAAAATAAGGCCGGGTCTTATATTTTTTTGAGCCCCGAAAAAACGGCTAGGCCGTCTTTTCGGGGGTGACTTAATCTCCCCCCCGCATCCTCATCTAGAGCGCCCCATGGGCAGCCTCGCCACCAGCTGCTCCTAATGGGTGATCATGGCGAAGCGCAGAGAGCTCCCTACTCCCACCAAACACCCTTGCTGCAGACCCAAGACCTTTGGCACCCGCCACTGTTGCTTTCAGTTCTGCCCATTCCACTGCCACGTTTGGAGCTGCCGCTTCCGTGTTTGGAGTGTCGCTGCCATTTGGAGTGCCGCCGCCATTTGGAGCACCGCCGTCATGTTTGAAGCTGCCACTTCCACGTTTGGAGCTGCCACTGTGTTTGGAGTGGTGGCGGTGCTCCAAATGGCGGTGGTGCTCCAAACAGCGGCAGCTCCAAATGCGGACATGGCAACTCCAAACAGCGGCAGTGCTCCAAACAGCGGTGGGGTTCCAAACACAGAAACGGCAGCTCCAAACGCAGTGGCAGCTCCAAATGCCGAAGCGGAAGCGGAAGCGGCAGCTCCAAACAGCAGCAGTGCTCCAAACAGTGGCAACACTCCAAACGTGGAAGCAGCAGCTCCAAACGCAGAGGCAGCTCCAAATGCAGAAGCGGCAGCTCCAAATGGCAGCGGTGCTCCAAACAGCAGTGGTGCTCCAAACGTGGAAGTGGCAGCTCCAAATGTGGCAGCGGCATGGGCAGAAGGGAAATCAACAGCGGCGGGCGCTGAAGGTCTTGGGTCTGCCGCAAAGATGCTTGGCAGGAGTAGGGAGCTCTCCACGCTCTGCCATGATCGTCCATTAGGAGCAGCTGGTGGAGAGGAATTGCTGCCCGCGGGGCGCTCCTAACGGCAAGTCCCCCTGCCCTTCCCCCCATTTTGCATGTTTTAAAATAGGCCTAAATTTGGGGGGAGGGGCTTAATTTCATTTTATGCCTAGAAAACATGCTGGGTCTTCCTGTTGGGGGAGGTCGTATTGTGGGAGAAACACGGTAATATTTGGAAATGTATGCAGAAATACTCCCTTCCTTTGATCCATATTTATGTGTTATGCTGGCCATGTTGCAAATAAAGGATACTTTATCCCAGGTTTCAAGGAAAGAGTCAAAATAAACATAATTTTAAAATAGCAAGATTTGTACAAATACAACAAAAGAAACATAAATTAATATGTCACTAATCCTAAAATGCTTTTACTTACTAAATTATCTGTTTCTGGATCTTCACAAAAAAAGGGTTTTCCTTCCTTCTCCTGTTTCCGAACAAAGTTTTCAATATCTACATCAAAACTTGCAGATGTTGTGCCTTCTGAACCCTGTGTAGATTGTTCACATTTTTCAAATAACAGTGCTAATAAGGGAAATAGTGGATGCCTAGGAATTAAAGATGAGTAAACTATAAGACTATAGAAATTCTCTAAGTCAACATGACAAAACATGTATAATTTAAATACTGCATACATAAAAAATTATATTAACAATTAAGATGCTATGTATTCATGGCTAATTTAACCTGGAAAAGAAAACTAATCTTTTGTTTGCTATTTAAGACTACTTGTACATTGTCGTGAATAAATTGTATTGCATTCTGAAATGTAAACTTAATTTTTATTGTTATTTACTGTTTTTCAGGTTCTGAGCACCAAGAGTTTCTCATGATTGTGGCGAGATACAAATATAAGAATATGAACAATTAAAAATCTATATTAAAATAAAAATTCTTAATCTGAAATAAAATTCACAAACCTTACTTAAATAAACAAAATATGCACTGCTATCTTATGCTAGTTCAGTGAGTTGTCATTCTCACTTTAATAGAGCTTACTTACTTGTAAACATACAGAATATTGACTTAAGTAAGTAATACAATGGCTAAAAATATACATCCAACTTAATAAAGTACTCAAAATACAATAGTTTGTTGGTACACTTGCTGTTAAATGTTTGAGTTTAGGAAGCTTTTTAAGTACTGATTCTACATTGTGGGTGCACTGGGATTAGACCCTATTCTTTACTAGTAATTCTATACTAGCATCGTATACAGGTATATCTGACCTCACCCAAGAAAATAAAATTGCAGTAGTTCTCAACTTTGGCTAAAGTGGTGAAACATAGAGGAGTCTGGCCAATGAAAGAAAGGCGGCTTCAAAATCCTATCCTTTATTGTGTTTTGTATGGTCTAAATATGATTGTCTACTACATCCCAGAAACATCATCCTTAATTTGAGAACAATCACTAGACAGATTAAAGACAATAATATACTTTACCATTTAAGATAGTTCAACTGTACTACCTGTAAATAGCCTGCTTGTCTGCATCCATCGGTGTCTGAGATTCAACTGGGGAAGGACTCAATCCTCCTGCATCTGTTTCTAAGCAGTTTGGATCTTGCTCAGTTTTTAATTCTGTTACTACTTGCATTTGCTGGAAAAGAAAGATGCTTTATATTGCCAGCTGCACTGAAAATGATTTGTTTTCCAAGCAAACGGGAGAAAGCAAAGAGTCTACTAAGTAGCCAGAAAGTTGGTATGACTTGGCAACTGTACAAAAAGTACAAGCAGTTAACAAAAATAGATAGATGGATATAGGCATATGATCTTTCTTATGTCTTTTCTCAGTAATTGTGGTTGATCATAAATTGAAGATTTAAGCAATGATAATATAACAGACAGATCTGTTAACAATCTTTCTTTGTCTTGCTGTTGATATACAAGTGTATCATTCCTAAGCTGTTGCTAAAAAAGTTGTATGCGCTTCTCCATATTTTTGTTTTTTTGTTACTAAGACATATGTACATGTATATGCAGATCAAAAACATAAAAAGTTAAATATCCTTCCAATTAAAAAACATTAAAATAAATGTTTCAGATTGGCACAAATGTATTACATTTCTTATGACACAGTATGTGAAAAATTTTGCAAAATGAAACCTAATTTAAATTAACAGTTTAAATATGTTAGCTACATTTACTTGATCTAGAATTTTGCATATATGATTAATTTTTTAAAATTTCCCCCTCACTTCCCTTTCCCTTATAAACTCATTTATATATCTATAGCTTCAATGATATGTGATAATTTCTTGTTAAAATCTTATCCATGTACAACTTTGCATAATAACTCAACTATATTTATATTTCAACATTGGCATAAGGTTTGGAATTGGGCAGAAAAATCCAAATAACATTTCTTTCTCCTTACCTAGGGATTCACAGTAAAAACTGCAGGATGTCTTAGCTGAATATGTTAGGACAGGGATGTCAAATTCAATTTCATTGAGGGCTGGGGTGGGCATGGCCAAGATGGGCATTGCCAGCTCACTTGTGACTTGTGTTGGGGGCGCCTGAGTGCTCTGCCAGCAAAAATGGGCTCCCGAGCTCTGTTTTCAGCTGCGACAACCTCCTGCAACCCTGTGCCAGTGAAAATGGAGTTTGGTAGAGGCATGTGCTCCATTTTTGCTGGCTGTGGCAGCCTGGGCTGCTCCTTTGCTGTTTCCAGGGTAGCCCTGTGGGCCAGATCTAAGCATCTTGAGTTTGACACCCCTATGTTAGGAGGTTCAGGCTATGGATGGCAGATTATTGTTGTTGTTGTTGTAATAATAATAATAATAATAATAATAATAATAATTTTTATTCATTAAACATGAAACCCAGTCAACTGAACATTTAAAATGCATCACAAATATCAATGACTGGCTCTGATGGTTGATATGGGTTGCTGCCAGGATTGTATTCTTTATTCCAAAGTCCCACAAGATCCTCACCATCTCATTTTCAACAATCTTTTCCACTTTATGTTCCCATGACTTTTCAGATACAGGTACAGTATATTTTTTACATAATGACCAGTGGATTAATTTAACAGCTCGATCATGTGTAGCTTTGTAGACAGTTTGTGTGATTTTGCTGCACTCATATATTAAGTGTGAAACAGTTTCAACTTTGTCATTGCAAAGTCAGCAGTTTGGATTGTCAGTGGCTTTTTTTGTATCTTGGCTTTCATGGCATTAGTTTGTAGTGTTTGTTCTTGAGCAGCAAGTATTAAACCTTCCATTTCTTTCTTGATAGTTCCTCTCTTAAGCCATGCCCATGTCAAGTTGTTATCACATTTTCCTTCAAAGTTTTTCAAGTGCTGTCCATGCAAAGCTTTGGTTTTCCATCCATTTAATCTGTCATTCAGCTGTTTATCCTTATATTCTGCCTTTGTTTCTGTTGTTTTTATAATGTTCTCCATTTTCACAGCCTGCAGCAATTTTTCTGTACTTTGGTTCACATATTCATTCAAACTTTGTTTTTCTTCTTCTAGTTTGATGGATTTGCAATAGCCCTCTGCCCCCTATTCTTCTTGACAGATACAACCTGTCGATGTCACTTCGTGTTTGTAAAGTGTGGTAAATATTCAAAAGTTTACACGTTTTCCAGTCCAGGTTTTCCAGTTCAGCCACAGTCCAGTTGATGATTCCAGCTGGGTAGCATATCACTGGAACTGACCATGTATTAATGGCTTTAATTATGTTTTCAGAATTCAGTTTTGACTGTAATATTTTGCAGACCCTCCTGATGTATTCCTTTTGCGTTGACTCTTTGACTTTTCCATTCAAGATATTATCTGCTTCCAATACACGTTTCTTTTTTGGTATTTAATAACCCAATTGTGCAGTTATAATGGGAGCTGTGCTGTACATTAGTTGGTTTGTTTCATGCTGTGTGCTGGTTGGGATGGAAGTTAAAATGTTGTTCACTGCATTTAGTAGATCTTTCACTCGTTTGCTATGTACTTTGCGAATGGCAGGCAGTCTTTTTCTTTCTATGTTTTCTTTGGTGTGGTTTTCAATCTTTTCTTTCAGCATTTTCACTAGATCACTTAGCTCTACACTTTCGAGTTGTTGCACAGGAAGTTCTTCATCCTGTATGTTGGTTTCTTCCACTGGTTGGTCAGTTTGTTCAGGTTTTGGAACTGTTTCTTCAGCCTGTTCATCATTACTTGTTTTCTTTCTAGGCAATGTTTCTAGGTGTTGTCTTTCCACACCTGTGAAAACTTTATTTTTTAAATAATAATAATAATGCTTAGTTAAGTCTCATTGGCACATCAAATAATAATAATAATAATAATAATAATAATAATAATAATAATAATAA